CCCCAAAACCCCAAAACCCCAAAACCCCAACTCCATAATAAAATAAAATCCAAGCCTTACTTAAAATGGACAGTATAGAACAAGAAGAGACAATCTCTCAGCCCACTGCTCTCCATCCTGAAGACTCCCAACACTCTGCTATAAAGTACAAAACCCACACAAATAAACTCTCTAAATCCCAAAAATCCTTAAAATTTCTTAAAATAAGCCAAATATATTCCCAACATTTTCTTATACTCATCAAATTTCATAAATTCTAAAACCCACTGAAACATCTTTGTCATAGGACTTCAGTCCAGATTAAACGGGCCAAGAAGAAGGTACCCCATTCATGTAATTTTTAGAAGAAATAAGCGCTCTAATCGGCCAAAACAGAAGTAAATCAGCAATAATGGACTTTAATAAGCAGTTATATATAGAAATCAACAAGATAATAGCCAAGATGACCCTAACTTCGGTCTGGGTAAGGACAACCATGAGCATGATGAGAGCAACTGGGGGAACTATGATGAGCACATACTCCAACAGTTCTCTAAGAGACCCAGCAAATCAGCTCTGTAAGTTACATCAGAGTATTCCTATAGGTTTCATAGTAAGAAAAATCAGCAAGAGCAAGAATCCTTCGGAGAGAGTTCCAAGTATATTATTCCTGTAAAGTCTAGAAAACCCATGAATTCTGATTTCAGACTGAAATCAGTTGAATACACCAACGTGCACAGGGAAACAATCTCCTCTAAGATGCATTCAATTGATAACTTCGAAGAGAGGAAGAACAACATTTGTGATTGATGAAGCAATAGGTCTAATTCACATATAATGTCACCTATGGACTCTTTCCTCAGGAAAAAGAACTATAACCCTAATATGGGAAGTCCAAGTAGAGGCCAGCTATGCGGTCTAACAAGTCTGATAACTCCTTCTGGCACTATTGGAGAAAGGTCTATGGAATCTAAACCGGCTTATTGGACTAATTCTAGAAATAATAGGCTACAAAAATCCTCAAGAACCAAGACACTTAAAATGGAAGATAACGAAGGAATCATCCAACACAACAAGGACTACAACGAATACCTTGACAAAAGAATGAGGAGGATCTTCTTTAATTCTCCAAATAAGGTCGTTGTTAATGAAAACTGGGCCAATAATGAAAATATGTTTCAAAAATAACAATGTGTTCACTCCAGGTACATCCTTATGTAACCCCTAGATATGACCAAGAGAGATACCTTCCAAGATGACTTCAGAAGTAGGACAACAAAGTACATTTTCTCTAACGCATTAGCACTTCAAATATGCAAAATATTAGCTTTCTGAAAAATAAAATTTTGCGCAAAAGACTCGTGAAATCAGGCACAACGAAAAATCTCTACAAAAATAGCCCTCAAAGAGGACTAGTGATCCATAAGCTCTATGACGTAAGCCTCTTGATCAAGTATTTCTAGAAAAGGGAATGAGAGGGCTTCATTAAGCAAGAGGGGTTTCTAAATAACGCACTCCCAGATTTCTTCTCTAAGACTAAAAAGATAGACACGAGGTATTTTTGAGACTAAATTTTAGCGATGAGTTCAGAATAAACTACTCAAGCTTTTGTAAGTCATTGCGATAATTCTAGTGAAACACATAATGAAAGATGAGTCCATGGAGAAGAGTAGGAGTATGCCAAAGATCAAGTATGCAAAGTCTGCTGCTCAGACTTCCAGGTTAAAACAGAGCACTCTCCTCAACGTAGCTAATAGACTTGTCAAAAAGGTACTCTTTCAGGGGTAATTATAGAATGAAGAGGCACATGAGGACTCTGAAGATAAAAATGATCAAGAAGAGTTCGAGCTTTGGGATAATTATTATAGGCTCAAAATACAGTACAATAGCCACAAACCAGCCTTGCTCAACTATATCAAGTTCAAGGTGATGAAAGGGGAAAATGCTAGAACTGTTAGAGGTAATTCTAGGATCTGATTTTATGCCTATAGAGCCATGTGATGGATATAAGATCATTGAAAATGCATATAAAAAGTACTATTTTGAGTCTGAAAGTTTAGTATCAAGAAGAAAAAGAGCAAAGCTCCTTTCATCAAGAAAACAAATTTAGAAGATGAGGAGTTATTATCTCAATCACAGATTTTCTTGTCAAAAACCGCGAAATTTCAATCACCTCGTTCTCCAAACACGAATGCAAAGGACAGGGTAAGTTTTGTGTCTTAGCCCTAGGCTCTGATCAAGAAATACGTGTCTATAAACATCAAGAACTAACGAATAGCCTCATATGCATACCCTAGGTGGCCAAATTATCTGAAAAATCAGTCAAAATCAGCTTTCAACTTCTGAGTTATATAATGGGGTTTTGGGGTTTTGGGGTTTTGGGGTTTTGGGG